CCGAGTCTCGCTCTGTCAACCAGGCTGGAGAGCAGTGGCGCCATCTCAGCTCACTGCAACCTCTGCCTCCCAAGTTCAAGCAATTCTCCTGCCTCAGCCTCCCAAATAGCTGGGACTACAGACATGTGCCCCCACGCCCCACTAATTTTTGTATTTTTTAGTAGAGACAGGGTTTCACCAAGTTGGCCAGGATGGTCTCGATCTCTTGACCTTGTGATCCACCCATCTCGGCCTCCCAAAGTTCTGGGATTACAAGCATGAGCCACTTCGCCCGGCCAAATTAACCCTCTTTTTAAATCAAAACTTTAAATATATATGAGTGAATTTTCTTTAATTTATTTATTTTAGAAAATAAAGACCGTTTCACCATGTTGCCCAAGCTGATCTTGAACTCCTGGGCTTAAGCAATCCACCAATCTTGGCCACCCAAAGTGCTAGGAATACACACCACCTCACCTAGCCAGGTGAATTTTCAAAGCCAGCTTAATCCCAATAAAATATTTTGTAATTTAGAGTTTTTAATTTTAGAAGCTACTGTTTTAAATATAAAATGAGATGAGATGTTGGCACAAGTGTTTTCTTTTAAATGCCATGGAGTGCCTCTTAAGATGCAAAGAATTGTTGGCATACCTTACATACAAATTCGTATTGAAAGAGTTCTGTTATACTCTGTATATGAATGTTTGCTGAGTATCTTCAGCTACAAAACTAGTTTCCATCTGTTTTTAAATCTTCTGCTTATTTGTGTAGGTCTCAGACATGACTACAATATTTTACAATCATTTACTTACTATTTTGACTGACCACTAGAGAGCTTTTTCTATTTTCTTTATTCATTTGGCAATTTTAATTTTTTCAGCCATTTTCAAAGTGACCTTGTAAAAAATTTGGTCTGGAAAATAAATTCAGAAGCGTATGTCACTACTAAAGTTGGCAGTATACATTATAAATACTCTATCTCTTTTGAATATCTACAAAAGATGCCCTCATTAGTTGGACTGTAATAAGGAAGGGAGTGGTTGGCTGCCTAAACACATTGACCATTGACTAATCTAAATTAGGCATACATTGCTGATCTTGACAGTATGCATGGTCACACACCTCATATATAGGTGTGCCGTATGTTCTTGCAGTCTACAGAATCGGAAGAAAGCTCTTGGTACTTAAATTCCTTGATGTAAAATGGTAGCAGAGAATTTTTATCTGGTTTCATTGCTTATTGTTTGCTATAATTTATTTCATGTCTTCATGTACTTTGTGACTTCCTAATGCTTCATTCTTGATTTCTTGTGCTGCTTTTATGTTTTTCATTGTTGCATTTTAACTTTTAATTAAAATTTCCCAAATTATAAATAAAAAGATTGATTTGTTCTCCTAACTTAAATTCAAAAATTGGAGTGCATTTTCTGAGTTGGAAAATGAACAAACTAGTGAAACATTGTAAACATATAGTGTAGATAAGTCTGAACTTAAGTGTAGAACATGACATAATGAAGTATATTCTGCTGCTTAAGTATATTTTAGAAATATAATTCTTAGTGAAAATCTTAATCTATTCAGCATCATTTATGGTAAGTATAACTTGTTTTTCCTATACAGATACTAAGTATATAATGTATATTCCAGTCACATTTCCTTCCACTAAATAAGGCAGCAGATACATATATTTAATATCATGGGTATGCATTTTAGGTTCTAAGCCTAAGTTATGTGACTTCTAAAGCTTTATCTAAATATTTCACCTCTTAAAATATTTTGCTTACATACAAATATCACCAGTTTTTTTAAGAAATGCCATCTTATGTACAAGAAATACAAAGCCTATCCAAGTGTTTTGCTTTTCCCTTTTGATACATTGAAATAAAAATGATAACTTACTCATTTAAACAGAAAACTATAAGTAATCAAACTTCTTAAAAATATGTTTGTTGGATGTAGTGGCTCACGCCTGTAATCCCAGCACTTTGGAAGGCTCAGGTGGGTGGTTTGCTTAAGCCCAGTAATTTCAAATAAGACCAGCTTGGGCAACATGGCAAAACCCTGTCTACACACACACACACACTCTCTCACTCTCTCTTTCTCTAAAAAATTAGCTGGGCATGGTGGCACATGCCTGTAGTCCCAGCTACTTGAGAGGCTGAGGTGGGAGTGTTGCCTGAGCCTGAGAGGTCAAGGCTGCAGTGAGCCATGATTGCACCACTGCACTCCAAACTGGGCAACAGAATGAGAACCTGTCTCCAAAAAAAAAAAAAAAAAAAAAAAAGTTCAATTAAGTCTTTTACAGCTCTGTGGTGTGAGATAAAATCAGTCAGTGTTTAGATCATCTTGAAACTTGGCTGTTTCATAGCCCATTTTTTATTCAGTTTTTCTCAAAGCTTTGAATTTAGTACAGATGTTTTCTTTCAGTAGTGTCAGTCAATTAGCTAAAATAACCGTTATCAATCTCATAGCACAGGGTTCAGGAAATTAGAGAGCTACTAGACAATTTCTCAAATCCCCTGCATTGAGAATGAAGTGAACTGAGGGCAGCCACTGTCATTTGACAGCATTCCCTAAACTTCAGATCATATGCCATCTTTATGATTTTTTGCCAGCATTAAGTGCCACCAATACTATTAAAAAATTTTAATCTGCCATAAACAACTTTAAACATTTCTTAAGCAGTAAAACCATGGATCTTAAAATACAGTGTTTTCTTCTGCAGCAAAAAAATATTTTTTTTTTTCTGCAGCATATTAAAATAAATATGTAGCCACTAAAACTATTTGAGTGTTCCTCATGCATTGGTATGGATACAGTGCCACTCCTAGGGAAACTCTGGCTTTGTCGATTGGAATTGTGGGACCATTGTGGGAAGCTGGTTGTGTTTCCCTTATTATGATAACTCCAATTATAGTAATTAGAAAGTGATCTGCTGCCAGGTCAACAGTGGGAGCCTCTGTGAGAATATGGCTAGGAGAGGGGAAGGTGTGTGCATTTGACATACTTGTGCTTTGTCTTAGAAAATTCCTACAAAATGTTAACAATTCTGTTTCCCATCATATCTCCTTTTAGAAGATTCCTACAAATGTCAACAATTCTGTTTCTCATTCTGTCTCCTTATTGAAAGATTTATTTATTTAAAGATTTTTACCTTTATAATTTGTATAAAACCTTGCTGCTTTTTGTCTTTTGTCCCTTTCAGCACTCCCCACCACCATCACCAATTATTTATTTATTCTAGCTATTTAATGCCTGGGAAGATAATAATAAAATAAATGCATGAATTGTCAAGTTCTCAATTAACAATTTTACATAAAAAGATAATTAATGGACAGCGGTTTTTCCTTCTTTCCTTTCCTCCTCCCTTCTCTTTCCCTTTTTTCTTTTCCTTCCATTATTTCTAGCTTGTTTAAACCCTTCAAAAATGAGCAGAAATTATAAATATTAAATAAGATAGATATCATTTGTAATAAGAAACAATTTACATGGTTCTTACAAATAACGTCAGAAAAAGCTGCACTAGGACACACGTACATATCAAATGTTTCCTGGAGCTCTACCTCTCATACTTAAGGTGTGTAAATATCACTTGTTGAGGGGGAAAATATCCTACTGTAAACAAACATTCTTGGGGTTTTTTTGTTGTTGTTCTTTTTTTTGAGACAGTCTCACTTTGATTCTCCTGCCTCAGCCTCCCGAGTAACTGGGATTACAGGCATCCACCACCATGCCTAGTAATTTGTAGTGGAGATGGGGTTTCACCATGTTGATCAGGCTGGTCTCCAACTCCTGACCTCAAGTGATACTCCTCCCTGGGCCTCCCAAAGTGCTGGGATTATAGGCATGAGCCACCATGCTGGGCCACATTCTCGTGTTTTATAGTAACCTCAGTTACATTGCTTTCCCCTCTAAAAGGGCATCACTTACTCTTTTTCACTTTAGTACTTCGCATGCCCTTTGCCCCACCTACAGCAGCCTCACAGACTGTCCTCATGCAAAGAGCAGTCGAATGTGCTGGTCTTTAAATTACAGCATGCAGTAACTGCTCTTTTTCACTTCTAAATACTCCGATTTTATAGTTACTAAATTCAGCTCATTTTTAACTCTTCATTTGAAATACGTGTTCCACTTGCTTTGGAGGATTCCAGGCTTTGGTACTTACAAGCAGGCCTTCAGGGTCAGTACTGACAAAGACTTACGGATCAGCTGTAGCACAACACCACGGTGTGTCACTCTGGCCAAATCCATCTGAGATCAAAATCAGATGAATAATTGCTAATGTTTATTGTTCACTGCCTGTACTGGGCACAGAATTTTATATGCAATTAATAACCTGTTTAATGCTCACAAGTCCGCATCTGTTATTATTCTTATTTTACAGATGAAGAGACATTATGTGGCTTACTCTGAGTTAAACAACTAGCAATAGAGATCCAAACCGTCTGCATCACACCACACTATAGACTGCCTCATTGCCTGTCATTTGTTGTATTGCCTTTCCATCCATATTTAAGCTCGTAATAATTTAAATCAGATTCATCAGAGGAAATATATCCCAGATTCTTTGCATTCACATTAAATTGTTTATATGAATATAGATTATTAGTTATTTTTATTTTTAAATCAAAACTTTTTCTTACAGCCGTGTGTCTGGTAAGGCTTTGTGTGTGTCCTGTCTTCATCCATATATCACTAGATCATCAGAGGCTGTGAAGTAAACTAGCTTCTCTCAGCCTCAGTTTCTTCATCTGAAAATAAAGAAGTTAGAGTCAGTTATCTGTAGGATTCCTTTTAACTCTAAATTCTAATCTACAAGTATGAATACGTAATTATTCATTTAAGCTTCCTTTAATTGAATCTGATAGTTATATCCAACCAGAAAAAGCTTCCTATACATAGGCAAGGTGTTACTGAATCAAGACTCTGTTTTTGTGTGAAATACTTTGTTACCTGGTATGCCTCCAACACAGATAACCTTTCTTGGCTCAAGAAAAGGTAAGCTTTTGCTTTTTTACCAGATGTAACTACCCCTGAAACTACGAAGAATCTTGTGGAGCCATCTGTGGTAAATGGAGGTTTGACATCACAAACAAAAGAAAATGGGTTAAGTACCGATCAACAGGTGCCTGCACAGCGGAAGAAGCTCCTCAAAGCCCCAACTCTGGCCGAACTGGACAGCTCTGAGTCTGAGGTGAGGCCCTGGTTCACACAGCTTGACTCCACGATGACGGTGCTTAATGCTCTCTGACCCGCTTTACTGATTATCTTGCTTCAGTCGTTGCTTCATCTCTTCCCATTTTTCAGCCAATAAAGCTAGGATTAAAATTAATTTGGTTTGCAGGAAATTAAACAGTAGATTACTTTCTATTAGTAAAGACCAATATAGTGGCTGTAGTTTATAGAACACTAAAATTTTTGTTGGACATGCTGGCTCACATCTATAATCCCAGCACTTTGGTAGTCCAAGGCAGGAGTATTGCTGAACCCAGGAGTTTGAGATCAGCCTGGGCAACATAGCAAGACAGGTACAGTAGCACATACCTCTGGTCTGAGCTACTTGGGAGGCTGAGTCAGGAGGATCCCTTGAGCCCAGGAGTTCAAGTCTGCAGTGAGCTGTGATTGTACCAGTGCAGTCCAGTCTGGGCAATGGAGTAAGACTGTGTCTCAAATAAATAAAGTCTTAAATTTTAATTGGGCTTAAAACAAGTCAACAATTTTCCAACTTATATTACCTTAATCTCTTCCTGTTTATTTGAGGAAGGAAAAAATAAAAACATTTTGCATAGATCCTCCTTCCTCTAAAATGCACACAGACATATACACACTCAGGATTATTCTTCTTGCAATGGTAATACCAACAGACAAAATTCCAAAAAAGAAAATTCGAATAGTATTCTCCAGGTTTCATCCTCCACCTACCGCCCTTTGCGGAGGGGGAAAGATCTCATATCCTTCCTGATGTCAACATCCACCTATATGCTAATGATTTCCATACCATCTCAGGCCCCCATCTGCAGTGTCAGTATTATATTCATCATTGCCTGTGGGTCTCCACTGCCCCTTCCTCAAAATCAACTTAGGTAAAATGAAATTCTCTTCTTCCCCGCCTTCACCCTCACCCACTTGCTAAACCAAAAACACACACACCCTAGCTACATACACATGCACGCGACATACACACCCCTAGCTTCTCATCTTCTGCTTGCTCTCCTAGTTGCTGGCTCCATACCACCCATGTTCATCCAAGGTAGAATCTGAGGAATTATTCCTTAATTTTCCTCTCATCCATCTCCATCCCATTCCAAACAATACCAATAATAATTTTGCTACTAAACGTTTTTCAAACATTAGTAACAAGAAGAAATATTTGTATTACTAAAGTCAGTTAGTCTCTCTCTCTCTCTTGCTGTCGCTTCAGTCTATCTGACTTTTCTTCTTGACTCCCCAAATTCCATCTTGCATTCACTGCTCTTTGAAACTCCCACTTAAAACCTTCAGAAGGCTCCCTGGCACTTACAGAATAAAATTCACATCCCCTGATCACACGCCTGCAGACACCTCTGGTCTGATGTTATGCCTTCTCAGCGTCTGATTTATGCCTCAGCCACACACAGTCGTTCACTTTTCCTGCACAGTTTATCGGTGCTCAGCTTGGTGCTTAGACCTGTCTGCGGTCTGCCCCTCACATCCTTGTCAGAGTCAGCATGGCCTTGCTTTGTCTTAGGAAGTCTCCCAGACACCACTAGCCTGCCAGGACCCCTTCTCCTCGATTCTATCATAACCCACTCATCCCTCTGTTTCACTGGAACACTTAACATTCTGTCATGTAATTATTCACTTATTTCTCTCTCCTACCAGAGTACATGCTCCCTGAGAGGAGGAACCATGCTGAATTTACTTTATATCTCCAGTTTCTAACACCCAGTAGACACTCAAGTATTTAGATAAATTCGTATTAACCTATAAGAACAGTGATTTACATTTTAAAAGCCTCTAGCTCAGATATCATCTAGACAGAGCCTAATTCGGGAGCCACTTTCACTTGTGGCTATTTAAATTTAAGTTATGTTAAAATTAAATAAATGAAGAACTCGGTTTCTCAGTTATGGCACTCAGGGTCCCAGGAGCTTCTGTGACTAGTGGCTACACAGATCACAGTCCCTTCACGGAGAGTTCGGTTGGGGGGCACCAATTTGCAGCTGCCAGGAGCTCACCTTCTTACACCCCACCTACTTTTAAGTCCTTTCCTTTCCTAGTCCTCTTTTATTACCTCATGAGGCAAGACTACACAGCAAGCCATGATCAAATAAATTTGCAGACTCTGTAACCTTCCTTGTGGTACTCTTTTTGAAAATGAAGTGATAATGCCCCAAATTCAAGTCTTGAGATGATTCGCTAGGCACATTATTCTTATTGTTAACCAAAGAGAGGCCATTAAATGTATTGAAATGTTAACATTTAGAAAACGCAGATAAACTGAAGACTTTCTTTTTTCTTTCTTTTTTTTTTTTTTTTTTTTTTTTTTTTTTTTTTTTTTTTTTTTGAGACGGAGTTTCTCTCTGTTGCTAGGCTGGAATGCAGTGGCACTATGTCGGCTCACTGCAACCTCCACCTCCCGGTTCAAGTGATTCTCTTGCCTCAGCCTCCCGAGTAGCTGGGATTACAGGTGCCTGCCACTACGCCTGGCTAATTTTTGTATTTTTAGTAGAGGCGGGGTTTCACCATGTTGGTCAGTCTGGTCTTGATCTGACCTCAAGAGATCTGCCTGCCTTAGCATTCCCAAGTGTAGGAATTACAGGCATGAGCCACCATGCCCAGCTGAAGTCTTTATTTTTAGTCAACTGTTTCAAGTTTGGGATTTGTATGAAAGTTTTAATAAACTTTCTATTGGTAAGACAGTAGTTCTTTTTAATAGTGGTAGGTAAATTGTGTTTAGTCTAAACACTCTATTAACATTAGCTAACTTCAGATTATCAGCTAGTTAAAGACAACTCAGAAGAAGGTCTGTTGTAAAGCCAGTTAATGAACTGACATTTATGTAGACATAAATGAACACCTGGAAACTCAAATTGTGTTTCCTTGCAGTGTGAATTAGTAAAGACAGTTCTCCATGTGGCACTGCATAGGGTATGTGGACTGGGTGCTGGAATGGACACTTCATTGTCAGCTATCAGCATATTTTCCTTCTGATGAGGGGAGCTGATTCTGTGATCTCCAGGTCTCTTCCAGTTCCAAAACATGACAGTTTTGCCCAGAAGCATGAAATTGGAAAAGATGTCAAGGAATTCTGTCTATTCCTAAACTAAGATTGACTTACCTCTGGTCATATTTACTGTCTTACAAATGGCCGCAAATTCAAAGACTGTTAAATACATCCCATATCATATTACATGGGCGCTCTTCGTTCACATTTTTTAGTAATTTTTTGTTCCCCACTTTTTAGTGCATTTTAAAACTCTTCTCCTATTCTTTTCACCAACTTTTTTTTTCCAATACCACTCCATTTTTTCCAGCCAAATATTTATTGAAAGCCTTCAGTAACTACTAAAAGTAGAGGCAAAAATATGATGGTCATCGCTTTCCTATTGTTTATAATTTAAATAGAATATAAAAAGTATATCTATACCTAAGAATCATTCTAAGTGTTTACGGAGCACAGTGTCTTCCAGACACTGTCTTACGCTATGTAGAGTGTGACTGGATGCTATAGAAGTCCAGAGACTGCGGAGGTCAATTCAGTCAGTGAGTAAACACCACAGGGGCTGGAAAGACTGGAGAAGCCATGTGGAAGAGTAGTAGGACTTAGGTTTTAGAATGAGTATAAAAGACAGCAGAGGGCTTTCCATTTTGTTGTGGGATGTGAGCCGGGCTGTGCCACAGCATGTTGATGTATTTCTCTTGTGCCTTCTTTTTTTTTTTTTATGTCAGAGAGAGATTTATTAGAAGGAATTGGCTTATGTGACGACTCTTGTGCCTTCTTGAGAGCAGAGGTGCAGTCTTACTCAAACCTCTGCTCCTAAGTGCACTTCTGGCATCTGGTGACTCTCCTGACTTATCTAGTGAATTCCTGGCTGGCGTTGCACCATGAGCAAAGATCAAGTCAAGACTCAGGGCTGTAGAAGACAGCAGAGAACAAATAAAGGACAGTCTCAAAAAAGGCTGACTTCATTCTTTAGCTTCCTGCCTCTCAGTTGTATCACCTACTTGCCCATTTTCCCTCTCCTCCTCAAGTTTAATGATTGGCTTCCAAACATGGTTTTTTGGGGTTTTTCTTGAGACAGAGCCTCACTCCATAGCCAAGACTGGAATGCAGTGGCGCAACCTTACTCAGCTTACTACATACTCCACCTCCTGAGTTCAAGCAATTCTCCTGTTTCAGCCTCCTGAGTAGCTGGGATTACAGGTGCCCGCCATCACGCCTGGCTAATCGTTGTATTTTTAGTAGAGACAGGGTTTCACCATGTTGGCCAGGCTTGGCTTGAACTTCTGACCTCAGGTGAGTTGCCCACCTTGGCCTCCCAGTGCTGGGATTACAAGTGTGAGCCACCGCACCTGCGCCAAACATGTTTTTAAGTGCCAAAACTTTTTCTTCACACCAGACTTATACAGAAGTACAGTGTCAATCAGCTAGAAATGGAGGTGGGGACTAGAGCCTTCCCCACCTACAACCCCCCCCATCCTTCAGGGCCTCTTGAAGGCCTCAAAGAACAATGTGAAATTTCTTTTCCATTCCAAGAGGGAGTGGCCCACTGCTGAGTCAGCACTCAGCTGCTGACACTGAACTCACCAGTGGAGTCCACCTGTCTCTACTGCCCTTTGCATGAGCCTCTTTTTTTTTTTTTTGGTGATGGAATCTCGCTCTATCGCCAGGCCTGAGTGCAGTGGCAAGATCTTGGCTCACGGCAACTTCCACCTCCCAGGTTCAAGCAATTGTCCTGCATTCACCTCCTGAGTCACTGGGATTACATGTGCCCGCCACCACACCCAGCTAACTTTAGTATTTTTAGTAGAGACAGGGTTTCACCATGTTAGCCAGGATGGGCTCGATCTCTTGACCTTGTGATCCACCCGCCTTGGCCTCCCCAAGTGCTGGGATTACAGGCATGAGCCACCACACCTGGCCTGCATGGGCCTCTTTGCCCACCCTCTGTACCGAAAACAACCAAGACCAGAAATTCCCCTTGAAGGGAA